GATCCGTAGATTAATCTACGGACCGTCAATGGGCACTGTGGTTCCACACTTGGCCAGATTTCCCTGATTAACCTTTCATGCCTTGGCTGCTGATCTACGACTACCATCTACGGAGCGTCAATGGACATACGGTCCGTAGATCACCTCCGTAGATGCCCTTTTTTGCATCTCTTTCAGCTGTCTCTTTAATTCCGCGCCTGAACATCTTTCCTGCAAAATATGATAAAAACACATGAAAACTAATACAAAAAGGCCCTAGACACACACAACTTGTAAGTGCAATGTATTAGAAATACCGTAAACTCACGGTATATCAAGTAGCTTCTCCTGTTAAGGACAGTGGAAATAACCGCAGCCGAATTGACTCTTGTGACATATTTTTGAATGAAAAAGGGCTGCAAACCTCTGTAAAATTTCTCACATGCTCATGCGGGTCTTCGTGATCTAGCCCTCTATATAGTCCCCTCATTTGGAGAAGATGAAGAGTTGTGCTAGTGACTTCAAACATCGCATTCTCATCAGTTTATGGGATGCAAATTGCACCCATTCCATCCGATTGAGCTGGGTTGTAGACACTATTGATGTCGTCTATACCATCTCGATGACCTGCTTGGTTGTCATTCATCTCTTCCTTACTCATGTTCACGTCTACGTAATCCAACCAACACTTACACAAAACAGCCAAAACTAATTCAACTACAGCCAACGAATTTGAGACTGTCAAATCTTCAATCAAAGAATTCTAAGGAACACTACTCCCCGGCAGCGGCGCCATTTTGATTAACGTATCAAGGCTTTCATCCAATACTAAATGCCAATGATCGTTTGTCAGTATAATAACCCAACTATGTGAGTTGGGGTCGATCCCACAGGGAGTAGTACTTCCTTCAAATTCAATAATAAAAGTATAATGACAACCTCTTCAATCAAACAATTCTTGCACAATTAATGTTCAAATCTCAAATTTCGGATTTTAATTATCAATCCAAATTTACACTTCAACACAAACAATCAAATATTAGAGTAAAAGCTTGGGGAATTAATCAGCCAATTATTGAATCTCAACGAAGTGGATAAACGTTACTGCTCATAATGGGATAATTTGTAGTGGGTAGGTCGAACTATATATAAAGTAACTTTCTCTCGAACAATTACCTTTTCTATGTCGAATTCTCTCGAACTTCAACACCAATCGAAAGAGGCCCAGCTCTTTACCCTCATCAAATCCACTCTCTCGAGTTGGATACAAAGGTTGGATCACTTGTTTTCACTCTCTCGAGCTGAAACCAAGGAAATCCATTACTAAGGACGCTAAGATTGCCACTTTGTTCTACACCTCTCTCTCAAGCAAGCACAACACTGAAATTGTTACATGAAATCATGCAATTCAAACTCGACACACAACAACAACTTAGACCCACTTCAAACTAACATCATTATTCACAATTAAGGAACACCCACTAAGGGAATTTCAACAATTGGCTTCATGATCAAAACCCCAAGTGAAGGGTTTTAGCCACTCATCTCAAAAATAAGAAAATCAAAATCAATTATCACTCCCATAGTTGGGTACAAAATGAAAATTATAGATGAAAATCAATTGATAATTTCCTCCCTTCCAAAATCTCTCTCCAAATCTTGCTAAAATCACTGACTAAACCATTTGGTAGTGTTTTCTCTCTAAGTAATTCCTTCCTCACGTTCTGAATGAATTTCTCTCTAGTCAAAACGAATTTAAGCAAGTCTAAAGTGTCACCGCTTTAAGACCACTCGGCGAAGTAAGTCGGACATCGCCGACAGATCGGCGATTCGCCGATTATTCTTCATCTCGCCTTCATTTTCCGCTTCTTCTTAGTCTGGCCACTGTAACTTTAGGCGATCCAGGTCAGGATCGCCGAGTAACTCCGCGATTCGCCCTGTTTCCTTCTATCTCACCTATCAGTACTTGCTTGAATCTTCTTCAGCACTTTCGGCGACCAGGTTATCCTTCGCCGAATATAGTTCTTATTCGCCGAAATCACCCCCATTTAATCTCCAACATTCTGTCACTTTAGACAGTATCTTGGCAATTTGGCGATTCGTCGAATGACATTGGCGATCATCAAGTCTTCATTTCTTCCTTCTTTTAGCTTGCTTTGTTCCCTTCTTGATCAATAGTGTCCATGCATCGTTCCTAAATCCAAATACCTAAAATTCAGGGTTTTACATCATTCATTTGCACACAACAAGTATTTGAGGGCACTAATTTTGTTAAAATAAAATGCTAAATGAGTTCAAATCGTGGACTCATTAATATTGTACAAGTATAATCACAATCTGAATGAATTTTACGAGTAATCTCTTTCTGTTCACCTTCCGAAACTGCTTAACTGATCATTATCCAACTCAAATAGATTGGAAAAGATAACGGATTGTGAAACTTTGGTTATATTTAGCAAGGAAATATTTCACTACTTTTACAGACCCGGTGTTCAGCTTCGGCAATCACCTAATCCTAAACTTTGTTTCTATCTTCCATTACTTCATTAAACTCCTTTCCCAATCGGTTGCCATTGTTCTGTTTTAATTTTCGAATGTATTAAATTCTAAGGTAATTACATTTCTCCTTAATTTTGGGTTGCTGCAATACCTTTTAATTTTTATTTTGTATCATGTTATGAAGATTCTACATCTTCATTCATGTATGCATACTTTCCTCATAACTAGGTAATTTGTCTTTACATTAGTTGTTTAGTTTACTTTATCAGTCAATAACTTTTATATGCCTTTACTTTAGAATAACCTAGCTCATGATTGATTCCTATACATATAGAGGTTTACAAGTGCTAAGTTAGGTACATGTGCATCCCTTTAATTTTGACATTTTATATAAGATGGTTGAGGTTTCATCGTTCGGATAAGCTTAAGTTTAATTGCAATTTGGCCAAAAGGAGTGGACAGTTAATCTTCTCCCGTAACTTTGATCCGAGTTTGAAGTAGAAACAATCAAACAAATTCTCTGAGGTAGAAAGTATTGCTTATTCTTTTGCCTGTTGTGTTGCCATATGCAAGATTAGGAAAAGTTTCAAAAGGAAATAAAAATTGTCTGTTCTTTCAAAGTTTTTGAAAAATGTTAGCTTGTTAATCCATATTGATCATTTACAATTTTGGATTTACTATACGGACAAATTTAACTGACAGATGTATTTCGTTGGGTCAAACATCAGGCAACTCAAATGAGCCACACACTCTTAACTTTACAGAGGTTTCAACTGATGGTTAGTACAAACATAAATCTGCATTTGCATCATTCCTTCTTACTTTCTGTTTCCCATCTGTTAAGATTAAATGGCGTATGCTGGTAATGCCAAAAATAAGAGAAGTATGACTCAACGGAATTTTGTTGTGCTGGTGGTACATCTCAACACTTTCAAACATTTGCCTCGCTGGGAGTCAACTATAACAAAGATATGTCCAAAAGAAACCATGGAAATAGTCTTTTTATTAGCACAGACATGACACTTTGCACACCATACTGCACACTCTCTATTTCACTATTACACATAACATATTGTATCAACTTTTAAAAATTTACAATAACACTTTGTTCGGCGTTGCCCGGGCATCCTTACTACTCTCTTTGTCCCAATTTATGTGACTTACTTTCCTTTTTAGTCAGTCTCAAAAAGAATGACACATTTCTATATTAAGTAAGAATTTAATTATAAAATATCTATTTTATTTTTAATGAAATGATTTACAGTCACACAAATTTCTATTATTCATTTTGAATCACAAATTTTAAAAGTCTTTCTTTTTCTTAATTTCGTGTCGAGTCAAACTACCTCATATAAAATGAGACAGAGGGAGTAGTTACTATATAAGAAGAGGGAATAGCACACGCCTCTCCGTCAACGCGTGTGCTTCCGTGAAAAAACGTTGAAGTTGAAGGGTATTTCTGTCATTCTACAATTTAGAGCTGATATTTTTCCTTTTCTACATCAATCCTAACGCCCTCTGCTCTCTCCTCCATTGCTAACCATCAAGTACCTCCGTCTGTTCTCTCCTCTTCTTCTCTTCTTCCGAACTCTGTGCTTTCGTCGATTACATAGTTCTGTCTAGATTGCCAATGCTCTCAATTGAAAATAAAAATAAATAGCATGAAATTAACAGAGAAACACAAGATGAGAAAAACAAAACCCATCAGAAAACAATGGTCCAAACGAAAAAATCCCTCAGGTGAGCATGTTTTACAGTTTGTAGGTATTTTCATTGTGTTGATTTTGATTCCCTAATTCTGCTTCTGCTATTTGATTTAACAATCTTTGGTGCTTTCTTTGTATCCGACAATTTTTTTGGGACCTTTTGACCTTTCCTGTTTCTCCCTCTACTCTGTGGTGGGTTTAGATTTCTTCAATTTTGCCTTTTTCTCATCTTCTTGACTCCTTAACTTTAAACTTCTGTTGATTTTGGAGCTTGCTTAGCTTTTGCTTGTTTGTATTTCTGAGCTTTATCTTGCTTACTTTAGCGGCCAGAAAGTTTTACGAAGAGTTACTCTTGACTGATATCATAGAACAAATTTTTAACTTTCGTGTCACGTTTATAGCAAACATAAAATATAAAGTTTTAACTATGCATGCTATCAGCCATTAACTGGATGACGGGAAAAAAAGAAACGTTTCTTTTGGGAGGAGGAAGATCCAAGTAAGAAACCCGACATTTCGCCATCTTAAAAAGAATTTAGATTTACTAAAACGTAAAAGTAAACAGATTTCAATTTTTAGGTGCTTCAAGAGTGTTGGATCAATGATATACAACTTGCACACTTATGTAGTTGAATGAAAATTACAATTGTTAACAGTTACATTTGCTGAAAACAGACAAAAATAATTAAATCTTTGTTAGTGAGATCTACACACTGTTTTTTCTGCACTACTTAGTATAACTTTGGTGAGTAGATGAATAACAATTACAGTAGGGTAAAATAGCAAGCAGAGAGACATAGAATAACACGCTTTGATACCATTTTACAAACCATCATGATAAACTTATCTGTTTCAAATGAAAAATAACATTAGAATAGTTTAATTAGACACCTTCTTTCCCTTCTTAAATTTGAGATAGGCGAAGAAAAATGGAAAGGGACAAGGATTGTGTGCTAAAAAATTATATCTTCACCGATAAATTGAGAGTTCAGATAGTCTTCCAACTAACTTACTAAGATTTTTCATGTCAAGTAAGTTAATTTTACATTTTAAGAGCAATTACATTTCACACGAAGCACAGAAAAATACGATTTCTTTAGGACTACTGGACTAGTGAATTTTTATATGGTTTAGTTTTGCTCATTGTGATGTTGCAAATAATTATTGAAATTTTAATGCATTCTGTATGTGAAATGCACTATAGCAGTTTTCTAACTCTTCCATTTGCAAATTTCAGTTTAAAGAAAGTGTGGCACAATTTTCTCAAGAGAATATTGTCCCGCATGCTGAAAAATAGATAGAACAAATTATTTCGCTCTGGTATGTGTATATTTGCTCTTGTTTTCTGAAGTGTTCTATGTACAAAAAATGGTATTTAAGCTTTGTTCTTCTACTTAATTTTTTTATACAAAAAAATTTGAAAGTACATGTGTTTTTGTCCTTTTGTACATCTGATATTAGCTACATGTAACATGCTTCGTGCTTCTGCTCTCAATCAAACTCCACTGTGGAGGTTTTTCCCCCATTTGAGCAGGCTTAAACCTTTTGTGTTTTGTGCTTTACCATATATGGCTTTTGGGTAAAATAAATAAGTGAGTTTTTCCCCATATAAAAACTCAACTTCTACTTTGTTCTGGCTATTTAAAGCTGAGGGAGATGAGAAGAATAGACAAATTGATTTTGTTGTTAACAGAGACATCATTTAGTACTTCATATTATTGGCTTTATACACTTCTATCATCAGTTGTGTGTTTACAATGGAACAACATATTCTCAATCGAATGATGAGACTTGTTTCCAATTAAAGAACAAACCAGATGGTCCGTCATCAGGTTTCAAAGAAAGCCCTATAGACCCCTCCTCGAATTTTTCAATAAGCAGTACCCCGCGATTGTAATCTACATTTGTTTTCACAAAATGAGGTGGACCAGCCATCAAATTTTAACACTACTCTGGAGCTATCTTATCAAGAATGAAATAAATTGTTTTAATTACCCACACATTTATTCGTTCCGAAGTTTAGCATGAGTAACATCACGCCTCTGTTCACCAACATATCCATCTCTATGTAAAGCAGTGAAGAGGACTTAGTTTCATTTTGTAGGTATATTAGAAAGTTATGCAATGAATAATGCTTATCATTACATTTTTGTTTTTGTTTTAGCATTTAATTTGTTGATTCTTGTACCCCTTTGAGTTTTATGATGAATTCTTCGGTGAATTAGGATTTCTACTATGTTCTTTATGCATTTTCAGCCTTTTCCATTCTACAATTGATCGTCAAATTTCTTGAGCAAATCATAACAAAATGCCCCATCTTCTAGGACAAAGGTTACTACTCTTCTCTGCTTTCCTTTCTTTATTTGTTATGTTAGCGGAAACCTTAATCCCTTACAGTTCATTTCGGATATGTGAGTCACTGCACTAACGGTTAGGAACTGATCCTCATATGATGTAAGTAGAGTATCAAAGGAAATAATTTGGACATATACTTTAGAAATAGCCACAGCCAAAGGACTCCTAGAGGTAGGACTTTTATTCTCATCTTTTTGTTAGTGTGTATATTGTATCATGAATTCAAAAGATATTAAATCATGCATATACTTTCATCAACTTATCCCACATTTACATTTTCTTCCATCATCATGTTGTTGCCTTTTGAACAATAGCAGCTACTTAGATAATAATGACAAACTCTTTGTGCCTTTTTCCCCATATGATGTGGTGCAATTTTTTTGGAAACTTAGCAAGACTGCTAAAAAAATTGTTCAAGAAATTTGGCACATTTTAAGTGAATTCCTCAGTAGTGAGATGCCGTTCACATTAGTTGGCAAGTTTCATTTGTCGTGAAAATATTTTTACGTGTTTAAAATTTTCATGAAACAACTAAAGAAACACTATTGGATTCACATCTTCACAGGCTTACAGTTAACCAAATGCAAGACCAAATATACAGAGGTGGAGATAGCTATCTTATCTCAAACTATCTTAGCCACCAGCAATTGCTACTATGCCTTTGGGAATTGGAAACAACCTTCCATTCTCTTTTGGCTGGGTAAGGGTCCTTGGCTAAACAGCGCAACTCGCCAATATGTGCTCGATATATTCTTCTGACAATAATTGTTGCAAATATAGTTGTGTGGCAACTGTTGAAATACTTGCTGCTATTTCATTCAGTGATTATTATTGTTAGTTTAGCTTATGCCATGAAATTTTGTAGACAAATCTACATTTTCACTTTAGGTTAGATGCTGCATTTCAACTTTATCTCATTTGTCATACATTGATCAATATTCATCATAGAGGTTGATACACCAAAGTGTCGGCAAAATGAGCCCATATTTTGGTAACCCGCCCAAGCCGCTCATATTTTTATGGGTTGGGTGAGTGACATTTTACATGGGTAAAATATGGGTTGATACCCATATTCAACCCATAAAAATATGGGTAAAATATAGATTAGCCAAATGAGTTAAGCTTATAACTTTTATTCACTCAAAATTCATGATATCACTAACAAAAAATTGTAACTTCTCTTTCTTTTTATATTCTTCTATAGAACTAATTGTTTTTCTCTATAATTGAAAGGTGAAGTCTTTGGCCCTCCAAAAAAAATATTTTTTAAATGTACATTTCTTTTGTTAATTATAATTATATTTTTTTATTTGCTTAATTTTATATTGGATAATAAATAATAGTGTAAAATCAGTGGCGTAGCCAGGAATTTTATAAAGGGAGTCCAAACTTTGAATAGTAATTATTTTTTTTAAAACGATGATTTATAGAGATTTTATTTTTTAATAATATTGTGATATAATTTGGGGTAAATGGGGTCTCCTATGTATAGAGAAAGAAAACCTTATTCCAAAAGAAAAATGTATTAAAATTTAAGAAAATCTTATTCCACAAAGGAAAAAGGTATTAAAATATAAGAAAGTCTTATTCCACAAGGAAAATGTATTAAAATATAAGGAAATCTTATTCCACAAGGAAAAGGTATTAAAATTTAAGGATTTTTTTTCAATTAAAACCTTATTCTAAAAGGAAAATGTATTAAAATTTAAGAAAAAGGTATTAAAATATAAGGATATAATTCAATTTTAATTGAAAAAAATATCCTTATTGGAGGTGAGATTCGAACTTGGGTCACTAAAGGCAAACATAACAGTATTTACCACCAAGCTACTGAATATTTATGTTAAACTTATGCATGTTTATTTACTTGCAAACTTCAAGAATGCAAAATAATTACAGAAAAATGAAAATGCTCATGCATGGAATCAAATTGGGGCAGCGAGTGGGCTAGCGACAGCTCTAACCATCTCTACTACGGGTTACTTTGTTATTTCAGCATGTCCAAAATATCATATATACCAATATAAAATTTTACGTGTGTATATCGTATAATTTTTCGACCAAGGGGGACAAGGTGGCTCCGCCCCTGTGTAAAATAAGCAAATCATGTATTGGTATTGACATTGCTTAAAGTGCATTAAGCATGTTTTAGTCTTAAAATGCAACTATTCATTTACTTTAACATTAAAAATATTTTTCCCTTGTTATTACATAAATTTATTTTATATTGAAAAGTTATGAATTTTTTTTACTTTTAGGATACAATAAAACTAAATGAAGCATTTTCAATATTTTTTATCTAAAAAGAGATTAAAATATTTTCTCCATATTTAATTCTTAAGTAGAGTACTATTTAATCATGAAAATATGGGTAAACTAGTACTTTACCCAATCCATTTGTTATCCAATCAATTTTTACCCATATCAAATATGAGCGAGTTAAATTATTACCCATTTTCAACCCGTCCATTTGCCACCACTAATACACCATATTAATATGCATTTGCTATAACTGGCAGGCAAGAAGAATCCAGGAACTTGGATATAAGGATAGTAATAAAGCAGAAACAATAATTTAACAACCGAAATAGAATAACATGTTGAAGCAAGTCAATTATCTCATTCTTGAAGAAAGAAATGAAGATAGACAGGTTATTCGAAGGAATCTCCCCGTCAACGCTCCATCTGCTCTCTCTTCTTCCGAACTTAGCACTTTCGTTCTAGATCAACCGAGACATACTCAACTTAATCAATGATGTTTTGAAAATGAAAAGACAAATAAATATCGTAATAACCTTTACATGGCAACGCCCGAGCTATCCTTACTAGTATATTATACAAATCAATATCCTAAGAAAATTTTCAATTTTCATTTAAATCTTCATCTCAATGAGGAGTGTTGTACTTTTCTAGATGTACAATTTGGAATTTTGATAATAATTTTTGCATATTTATTTAAATAAAAAAATAAAGTATAAAAATCATTTATTAGAGTATCGTAATTTTTATAACATATAAAAAGGCTTTTTCAAACTAAAATGTAGTACATAGTAACTAAGGGCCCGTTCCATGCAATATAAATTTAGAGCAACTTACAAAAATGACTATAGTTTTAGAGTTATTAAATTTGTATAGCTATAAATATGATATTTACTAAAAATGACTATAGTTTATGTCATAATCTTGCTATATATAAAGTATCACTAGTTTTTTTTTTTTAAAATACATTGATCCCTAGTTTTAATTGTAATGCACTAAATAAGGTGATTTTTATTATTGTTACTGACTTTCCTTTGTTTACTCCCCTCAAACTCTCAACTTCCTATTATTAAATTAACAATACATAATTACCTATTAAAAAGTTTTTGTTTGCTTATGGGGTATTTTTATTTTTTTGTTGATTTAATAAATAAATATCTAGATATAAAAATCATTATGAATAAAACATATACACATTTGTATGAACTAATGGCCAGTTTTATGAGCCAAAAAAAATCCTCTCATATACAACTTTATTAATATGTAATTCCATTATAAACTTATGTTATTGCTATTAGATGATAGTGGCTAAACTAAAACGTAAATACTAAGTTAGGAATATAAATACTAAAATAAATAAATACAGTTAACTAACATACAAATGAATACATGGATTTAATATATATATATATATATATATATACACATACAAAAATAATGGATATTAACTAAATATATACAAAAAATATGCATGAATATCAACCAATGAGCAATACAGATAAATAGAGAAAATGATCAAAATGGTCCTTGATGTATGGGTGTTGCTTTATTTTGGTCCTCAATATATTCTAGGTGATTGAAATAGTCCTTCATGTATGACAAAATGTGTTCAATTTAGTCTTTTACCCTAAACTTAACATT